ACACCATCCATCAACTGGATATAAATAAGGTCTGCAGACCACTTCATCCGACAACAGCAGAACACAAATTCTCCTCAAGCTCATGTGAACCTTTGCCAAGATGGACCACATTCTGGGCATTAAAACACCTCAACAAATACAAGATAGTAGAAGTCCTACATCAGCTCTCAGGCTGTGGTAGAACTAAACTACAAACCAGTAACACACAGACAGCTGGAATATCCAGACATACATGGAGATTAAACAACACACTTTGTTTTTCTCCTTGAGAGAGAAAGAGTGAGCATGAGTGAGCAGAGTGGCAGGCGGTAGAGGCAGAGGGAGAAAGAGAATACAAAGCAGACTCCACACCCAGGGCTGAGACCAACATAGGCTCTATCTCACAACCCTGAGATCATTACCTGGGTTGAAATCAAGAGTCAGATGCTTAAAAGACTGAGCCACCCAGGCGCCCCTAAACAACACCCTTCTAAACAATGCATGGGTCAAAGAAATGAAATCTCAAGAGAAATTTTATTTTATTTTATTTTATTTTAAATAATTTTTTGTTTGTTTTTTATTTATTTATGATAGGCACACAGTGAGAGAGAGAGAGAGGCAGAGACACAGGCAGAGGGAGAAGCAGGCTCCATACACCGGGAGCCCGACGTGGGACTCGATCCCGGGTCTCCAGGATCGCGCCCTGGGCCAAAGGCAGGCGCCAAACCGCTGCGCCACCCAGGGATCCCCTCAAGAGAAATTTTAAAATAAGTAGAACTAAGTGAAAATAAAAACGCAACTTACCAAAATTTGTGGGATGCTGTGAAAGCACTGCTTAGAGGGAAATTTACAGTGTTGAATACATATATTAGAAAAGAAGAAAGATCTAAATTAAATAATGTAGGTCCCTTTCTTCTAGGAACATAGAAGAAAAAGAGCAAATTATGTCCAAAGTAAGCAGAAGAAATAATAAGAATCAGAGCAGAAATTCATGAAATCGAAAACAGGAAATGGAGAAAATCAATGAAACCAAAAGCTGGTTCTTTGAAAAGATTAATGAAATTGATAAGCATGTAGCAAAGCTAACTAAGATAATAAAGAGAAAGGACACTAATCACTAATAACGGAAATGGAGGAGGAGACATTACTACAGACCCACGGTCATTAAAGGATAAGAGAATACTATTAACAACCAGGCACATAAACTTGATGACCTAGATAAGAATGGACCAATCTCTTGAAAGACACATTCTGCCAAAAGTCACACAAGAACAAACAGACAACGTGAATAGGCTTGTATCTATTAAAGAAACTGAATCAATAATTAATAATCTTCCCAAACAGAAAGCACCAGGTCCAGATTACTTTACTGGTGGATTCTACCAAACGTTTAAGGGAAAATTACAAAATTCTCTGCAATCTCTCCGAGTAGATAGAAACAGATGGAATACCTCATGTACAAAGCCAGCATTTTGCTGATACCAAAACCAAAGGCACTACAAGAAAACTACAGACCAATATCACTCATGAACAGAGATGCAGAAATCTTAAAAAAAAAAAAAAAAAAAAAGCAAATCAAATCCAACAATGTATGAAAAGAATTCTACACCATGACCCAATGGGATTTATCCCAGGTATGCAAAACTACTTCAACATTCAAAAACCATTAATGCAAAATCCAACACCCATTCACTATCAAAGTGCTCAGTAAACTAAGCCTAGAGGGCATTTCCTCTCTCTCCACTCCTTCCTTCAAATCTCAAGTCATTTTGTGGACACAAACAAATCAATTTTGAAGCTTGTATAGAGAAGCAAAAGACTCCCACGACAGAATGCTGAAGAGGAACAAAGGTGGAAGACCGTCATTACCTGACTTCAAGACTCACTATAAAGCTAAAGTTAGGACAATGTGGTTTCGGCAAAAGAATATACATGGGACAAAATAGAGAGAGAGCGCCTAGATAGACACGTCCATAAATCCAGTTAACTGACCTTTGATAAAGGAGCAAAGACAACACAATAAAGCAGAGATAGTCCCTTCTCCTAATGGCGCTGGAACAAGTGGACGTCCACTCAGGGGGAGAAAAGAACCTAGGCACAGACCTACCCCCTTCATAAATATTCACATGAACTAAGTCACAAACCTAAATAATCGCAAAGCTATAAAATTCCTAGAAAGTAGTGTGGAGATGACTTTTCAGATACAACACCAAAGAGAGAACTGATGGCTAGATTTTGTTAAAATTAAAATTCTCTGCTCTAGGGACACCTGGGGGGCCCAGCAGTTGAGCGTCTGCCCTCAGCCTAGGGTGTGATCCCAGGGTCCCACATCGGGCTCCCTGCAGGGAGCCTGCTTCTCCCTCTGCCTCTGTCTCTGTCTCTGCCTCCCTTTGTGTCTCTCATGAGTAAATAAATAAAATCTTTAAAATAAAAATTCTCAGGTCTAGAAGGACAACGTCAAGAGAATAAGATATACCACAAACGTGGAGGAAACATGTAAAAGACACATCTGATAAAGGGCCGTTGTCCAAAATACACAAAGAACCCTTAAAACTCAACAATAAGGAAACAATTCCATTGAAAATCAGTTTTAAAGGTGTCACCAAACAGCAGTGACGTACACATGGCAAATCAGCATCACATCGTGCACACCCGGCAGGTGCACGTGAACACAAGAGACGCCGCTGCATACCTGTTGGAAGGGCCAGAACGTAGGACATGGACCATGCCAGGGGCTGTGCCCATGGGCACTGGAGCGCAGAGGGACTGTAGGGGGGTCATGGAGGGGCACAGGGGGGCCACAGGGAGGCGCCTGGCTGCTTCCTACAAAGCCACCCATACTCTACGTCAGCCCGGTGGTCGTGCTCAGTACCCACACATGGCCCCAGAGGCTGCGCACGGATGTTTACAGTGACTTTGGTCACATCTGCCAGCGCCTGAAGCGCACACGTTCGGTCTGTGACTTCAAATCCCTGTGGCGTCGGTGGCTTGGGTGCGCAGCCAGCCCTCCCACGAACAGAGGCAAACGCCAGCGGATCCCAAGTCTCCGTGCAGAAGCAACGCGAACAAGAGCCCAGAAGGTGCCAGCCGCGGAGCCCGAGGGTGGGAGACAGGCCATGAACCCAGCCGCACACGCGAACGTGAACCTGCAGAAAAGTGCCTGGGAAAGCGCTTCGTGATCAGAACACAGATGACAAGGGAGGAAGTGACCTTTGGCCTGGGACAGAAAGGGTGAGCACCCCCAGCAACTGAAGAGTTTTTCATAACGTGGAGGGGAAGTGCCCCAAGTGCACGGAAAACAGACCAAAAGCGGACAGACCACTGACCACACCGGACGGTGCTTGATCCTGTTAGACGTCCACCTTCCTCTGAAGACACGAAGAAGCGTCCCGAGACACCGCCGCTCAGGCATAAGAGCAGCCGGGTCAGGGCCGGCCCTGCAGCCCCGGAGGGGTACCACTGAGCCACACGGCACCCACGTGCAGCCCCGCTCCCAGGGGCACAGCGTGAGAAAACACGCGTGAGGCTGTACACACAGTGGCCAACAGCCGCGTGGCTCCAGGAAGGGGAAGCCTCAGGTCCAACGAGGGGCTCAGCAGGCTCCCAGGGAGGACGGAACCCAGTCCACACAGGTCTGCTCACTTTTTTTTTTAATTAATTAATTTATTTATGATAGTCACACAGAGAGAGAGAGAGAGAGAGAGAGAGAGAGAGAGAGAGAGAGAGGCAGAGACACAGGCAGAGGGAGAAGCAGGCTCCATGCAGGGAGCCCGATGTGGGATTCGATCCTGGGTCTCCAGGATCGCGCTCTGGGCCAAAGGCAGGCGCAAAACCACTGCGCCACCCAGGGATCCCGGGTCTGCTCGTCTTCACGGGAAGGAGGGAAAAGCCAGGCAGCAGTGACTCGAGTCACAACACTTGGAGGGGCTGTGGGGGAAGCGACGCCCCGAGCGTGCTCTGGGAGCAGCTGCCACTTCTGGAAGCAGCTCACCCTCCCCACGCGGGCGGAAGGCAGATCCTGGGCCACGCGGGAAGGAGGAGACGCCACGGAGCCGAGGCCAGCCTGTGCACCTGCGGCCTGGGGCATGGACCTGGGGCACCTGCGGCCAACAGGCAGACACGGACTCTGCGGCGGCTGGTCGCTCAGGGGACAGGGGACGGGGGGCAGCGCACCCCACAGAGATGGGGACCCAGAGCTGTGGGTGTCCCAGAGGCGTGTGCAGGCATGCCCACCCCTTGCGCATCCAGAGGGGTCCGGGAGCAGACGTCCCTGGCCTCGGTGTCCGCAGCCGCTCCCCACAAGAAGCAGGGCCCCTCAGCTGCTGACCTCTGGGCAGACGGGGAGGCCCGAGAGCCTCGGCAGCAGGCAGGGAAGCAGCCATGAGGGGGCCCGGGGAATCAGGTGTGAGTGAGCCGCCACCCGGACCGACGACTTTACACACTGAGGAATCACAAACGGATGCTAAATGCCAATGATGCATAAATAATAAACACGGCGGACAGACAGACGGGAGAGGCACGGTTGGCTCGCAGGCACCAGCTGGCAGGCAGGAGGGGCCACCCGGGCTCCACAGGAACCATCTGCGCACCCCAGAGAGGCCGCAGGAGGTCCCCCCGGGGCTGTGTCCACGCACACGTTGCTTGTCGGCTGCAGTGGACCACGGCCAGGCCACAGGCAGAGCTCTCACCGGCCCAGAGACATGGCCTTTCCTTAGGGGAGTGCCAGGTGTGCATGCGTGTGTGTGCGTCAGCACGTGCGTGATCGTAGTACACATGATGTGTCCACGTGTCAGTGCACGTGATGCCCGTGCATGTGGGAGCTGAGTATGTGCGGGGTGATGCTCGTGTGCAGCCACACCCTCCCCGTGTGCTGTCCCCGGGCCCGCTGGTATTAGACGCGCTTGGCACGCAATAACCAACGTGTGCTCCTTCAACAAAGCGTAAAAGTGCCAAGGTCATCACTTGAAACACGACCTGCGAGAAGGGAGTCTGTGCAGTATCACCCGTCGCACGATCTCCGCTAAGGAAACACGTAGATTTATTCGCAGCCCCTCTGGATCCCCGGAGCCCCATGTGCGACGGACCAGGCGCACCTGTGCCCGCAGAGTCCTCCCGCGGACTCACGGACCTCCTGTGGGGTGCGCTTCTTGGGCGGGGGGCAGCCGCGAGGTCGGGGCTGCAGAGGAGCAGGGCCTGTGCCCTGGGTCCCACCGTCCCACACGCGGTCCCATCTGCCAGGACACTGAGGAGCCCTGAGGCCTCAGGACGGCCCACGGCGTCTCTCCAGGAGCACCAGCCTTGTCTGCAGGTTGACGTCGAGGGGGGGCAGCCTGCTCAGGTTCAGACTCACCCCCGTGGTGCCTGGGACGCTGGCCAGGACTCGGTGCGTGTCCCTGTAGAGCGCCAGGTGCGCGGGGGCCGCCTCCATGAGGAGGTGCGTGTAGGCCAGCATGTACCCCGACCCGGGCCGCACGTCTTCCCTCTTGTCATACCTGCAAGGTCGGAGCGTGGCCGTTGACCGTGGGCCCCACGCGGCTCCCAGAGCCCAGCTGCCCCCGGGGAGCCACGCATGGCTGCGGGAGGAGCACCCAGGGGGCAGCAACGTACCTCCAGGCACTGTTCACTTCTAGAAACCGAGACACGCCCGTCTGCGCCGCGGCCACGTCGATGTGCAGTGCGACATCTGCGGACAACCACGTGCACCTGCTGAGAACCGCGAGCTGCGCCCGAGCCACACCGGAGCCGCCCCGGCCCCAGCCGCCCAGCACCCACCTGTCCCGGGGGCCACCAGCTGGTGCAGCTTGTGCATCGCCACACCACCGGGGTAGTTGAAGTGGGACACGTACAGGGCTGTGGCCGAGTAGGCGGCATTCACCGCGAGGTGTCCGATCACCAGCACGGAGCCTGCTTTATACAGCCAGGACTTCCTGTAATTGTTCAGCCTGAAGAGAGCGCCGTGCGTCTCACGGGAGGCTGCGGCACACGGACGCCGCCGTCCACCCTCACGGTCACCGTGGGCCCCAATCACCACGGGGATGTGATCGTCGGGGAGGGTGGGGGAAGTTCCTCTGTCCAACTCCACCCAAATGCCGATTTAAAGTTCATATTACATTTCCAATCATCTTGGGTTATCGCTCACGTCCAGGTTGGAGGGCAGACCCAGCCCAGGCGCGGCCCGGTTTGCACGGGAAGCGGAGGGCGCAGGGCCACCGCTGCCCTGGGAGCCTGGAGGGACCTCAAGGCCACCAGACCAGGCTGCTTCCTGCCCGTCCTCCACGGAAGCCTGGCAGCTCCCGCCCCAGCACAGACAGCGAGCCACTGCCTCAGCCCACGGCCCACTCCGGACGTGGCCCCGCAGCACCACCGCGGCTCCTGGGCACCCTGTTGTCAGGCCCTCGTTCCAGGCTGGGTCATCTCCTGCCCTCGGTAACACCCACACCCCCTTGTGGCCGTGGGCCCGGAGCACTTCCCTGTCCCTCCCAACCACCCCTGTCCCTCCCAACCACTCCAACCCTCTCTGACCTTCCCCGACCCCCACCCACACCCCCAACATTCTCTGACGCCCCCCCAACCCTCCCAACCACCCCTGACCCTCCCTGAACTTCCCTGACCCTCCACCTGTCACACGGCCCATCCCGTTGAGCTCCCTGCTCTGGCCCGAGGGTCAGGTGACCCCATGAGTGTCCTCCCAGGGCAGCGCAGCCGCGTGTACACGGGCCCACGAACCACACACTGACCCATCGGCGGGCCCAGGGCGGCCCCTCCTGACCCCGCGGCCCTCCTTCACCCGGGCGCCCACTTGGACCCATCTGTTCACCCGAACACCTTCCCCGAGGGCCCGTGGCATGGGCCGTGGCCGCCGAGGGACAGTGGAGGACTCACAGGCAGGCGCAGCCCCGGGCGGCCACAATGTTGAGCACAGGGAAGGTGTAGATGACGAAGCGCAGCTCCTTGTGCGGGAGCAGCGAGTACAGGGCCACAAAGCCCAGAGACAGGAGCAGCAGTGCCAGCGCCCGCCTGTCCACGGCGCCCAGGGGCACGAAGAACAGGCTGCAGCCGAGGCCGCGGGGCAGGGCCGAGTAGAAATACCACAGCAGCGGAGAGGTCTTGGGTGGGACGGTTAAGGAGGCCAAACGCCAGCGAGTCACCCGTCAGCACGGTCACGCGGGGGCGGGGGGTACAGCACCTGGGACTCCCAGCCTCGCCAGGTGGCCAGCCCAGCCCTCCCCCTCCCCCAAAGGACAGCTGGTCCCAGGACGTCCACAAGCCACTGCGGCGTCACTGAAGACCATCTGGTGGCTGAGGCGGAACGGAGCGTCCAGGGGCAGGTGCCAGCCGCGGGAGAGCAGGGGGGCTGCCGGGGACGCCCACACACGGGAAGGATACGCCCCAGTTGGAGCTTTTGTTCAGGACCGTGTTGTACCAAAGCACCTTTCCCTCTGGCCACACAAGGTATCGCCAGAAACAGGAGTCCACGGCCACCGTCAGTCCTGGGAGACACAGGAGACCCTCAGAAAGAACTCAGCCCCCAGCTGCTCAGACCCCACCGCTGCCGGGTGAATGGCAGCCCCGGGGGCCTCGGACCTGTCAAAGGGCCGCAACGTAGCCCCAAGGCACCTGCTTCACCAGGAGGAGCTGGCGCCTGGGGCCTGGGCTCCTCAGGAGGGCCCCCCCCCCCCCCCCCGCAGAGCTGGTGCAGGGACCAGCCACCCCACCCCCGCCTGGGGATGAGGCCCAGGGCAGGGGGGGGAGCGGGGGGGGGAGGGTCAGAGACCCCGAGGAGCTGGTTCGCACTGTAATGCCGCTGAGCATCAAGGCGGTTTCACTTAATAAAACAACCCTCCCCGCATCTCTCCCTCCTCCTGGCAGCACACAAAGCGCAGCTTCAGACTGATGCGCCCCCGCGGCCCCACTCACCCAGGCAGAGCGCCCCGGCCGGGAGGGCGCAGCGCAGGGCCTTGGCCACCGTCAGCCTCCGGGTGCCAAGCAGGAGCAGCAGCGCGAGGCCCAGGAAGACGCTCAGCTCGGCTCTGAACACGAGGATGGCGAAGGCCGACAGCCGGATGAAGCGGGCCCACCTCAGCTGCAGCCAGGCCGCCAGGGCCGGCAGGACTGCGAGACACGGCTGCTGACTCCCACCACAGGCGGCTGTGCCCCACACACCCCAGCCCGCCCCGTGCCTGGCCTCCCTCTCCACCTCCCCCAGCCCCCCACCCCACGCCCCCCGACCGCGGTCGGCCCCCAGGCACGGTGACCCCAGGCGCACACCATCCACCGCCTCCCATACTCTTCGGGGCGCCCGGGGCCACCTGCCGGCCAGGAAACCCTCCCAGGCGACCCAGGCCCCGGCTGAGAGCTGGGAAGACCCCTCAGCGTGGCAACGGAGGGACGCCCTGGCCCTCGCCACAGGCCAACCCATCCTCGGCCTTCCCTGCCTGGTGGGAAGCAGCTCTCGTCAGGCAGACGCATCCCTGACGGTCGCCCCTTCACCAGCACGGCTCGGCAGCTACCTACCCACAGGCAGGGCCAGCACGTTGGGGAGCGTCCGCGTGCAGTAGAACATAAGGTGGAACTGCGTGGCCGTCACCCAGCAGAACATGGTTGCCACTGTGGCCCCAAACTGCCGCCTCACTTCTTTTTGTAAAGTCCAGAGTCCGAAGATCACGCCGAGTCCAAGGACAGCCCTGACTAAACAAATGTGGCAATGTGCATGGCTGGCGGTGAAGAGCTGGGCACAGGGAGTCCTGAAAGGCCACTGGCAACGGGGAGTCAGTGCCCGGGTGGCAGCGAAACAGCCTCGGATGAGGGGAGTGCTCTCTGCTACGGAACATGGACTGGGTGCAGGGAACGGACAGCCTGGGCCTCAGCACCCCGACCCTAAAGCATCACTGACCGCAGGCCCTGGAGGGCCACGGGTAGGGCAGGCGGTGTCCACAGGTCTGTGTGACCGGCTCAGCATCTCACCGCAGCCTGCGCCACGTGCACGTGACACCCCAGGGCCACGCTGACGGAGGCCTGATGCCCCACACGGCCCCGGAGCTCCTGCCCTATGTAGCCACCCGGACGGTGGGGGATCTCCACACATAGGTGGACAGTTGGGGTAGCCAGGAAATCTAGGTCTCGTGGGTGCAGACATGGAAACACGGTGGTTGCTGGCTCAACAAGGAGGTTGCACGGTGATATATACGGGACATCCTAAATTTGGTTTTAAGAGGTATCCACACGCACACATAGAAAGATCCAGCAGGATTCGCACAAGGTGCAACCAGTGGTGACCTCTGGGTGGGGGAAGGGAGGCCTCCGACGCAGATCACTGGGCAGATCACTGGTTCCGCGGGGACAGTGGCTTCCAGGTAGACAGGCAGCTCTCTGCGGGGTGCGCAGCCCCACAGATGGCGCCGCACCTGCTGCCTCTCCCCCTCTCTCCTACCTGGGGAGGGGCCCCGGAGCCCCCACTTCACCCTCTCGAGAGCAGAAGCAAGACGCGCTCGGCTCGTTGTCCCACGTTATGCCCCAGAAAAGGCGGGGGTCGGACCAAGACACCTGCTCCGGATGACCAAGCTGAGTGGCCAAGGATGGCCAGGCATCCGACAGAAGGACACTCCCGAGGCGGGGAGTGTCCACCTGGCTCACAGAAGTCCCCTGATCGCACTCGGTGCCTCCCTCGTCCTCATCGCAAGACCCCCTTACCTACTAGTTGAGAGTAAAACTTGGGCACTTCCAGCAGGGACAACACGTAGACCACAGGGCTGGAGAGCGCTGCCACGGCCAGGGGCCCGAGAAAGGTCCTGGGGACCACTCCGGGAAACTCGAGATGGTCGTACTGCAGGGAGAAGGGGAGGTCAGCGCACGCCCGTGGGGATCTTGCATGCGCGCTCTTGCACGCAGGCGCTCACCTTGTCCGTGTCCAGCCGGTGGTAAAGCAGGTCGTGCATGGCCTGCAGGTTGAAGCTCTCCTCCACTTTGGCATAGGGGCAGGTGATGAGGTGGATGGCGGCGACAGCCACCAGCAGCCCCAGCAGCCGGTGCTGCTGGCCCGCGCCCAACGGCCTCTTCCCGGCCATGGCTCTCCCGCCTCACCTGCCTGCCACACTCATCGGCAACAGCGCCCGTGGGCCCTGGAGAAAGTGAAAACACAGATGCCCGGGTCACAAGCTCCCCGAGTCAACACCAGGAATCCGGGTGAGGGGCGCGCGGGAACTCTCTAAACCACTGCTCTAACGTCTTTAATTTGAACGCATGGAGAAAGTTGAGAGAAATCACGCTAGGGCACCTCCCGCATCTCAGGAGGCTATCCCACGCCCTGAGCTGGGCACCGATCTTTCCAGGAAGAAGGCTGTATTTGCACAACTGAGTCAGCCCTCCCTGTGGCCGGCAGGGTGGGGGGGAGTAGCGGGACGGGGGCTTCAAGACCAGTTACCAAAGAGCACACACTCTTTTCCCAGACCAAGACCCACGGACGGAAGGGAGTGTCACCGCTTTGTGTCCCTCTTTCTAAAGCGTGAAGTCTGTGAGGCTGAGACCACCGGTCCCCCCACCCCGGAGAAGGCCTCGGTCAGCACGGAGCCAGTGTGAAGGAGAGACATGGCCCACCGTCCTGCCGGGCGCCGCGCCGGGCTGGGGGCAGGCCCACCTGCTGCCCAGCCGTTCCCTGCGCAGCACGTGCGTCACAAGCTACAGAGGGAAGAAACCCAGGCGAACGCGCGACTGGACCTCACCGCACCAGCTACGCGGTCCTTAAAAACACGTTAATGCTTTAACTCCCAGCAAAGCCAAGGAAGCCACAGACGTTCCCGTACTGTTCTCTGCTCCCCATGCTGCTCTGAGAGGGGGAAGCGTAGAAAGAAACAGGAAGCACACACCCAGCAAGTTGTTGGAACGGCTGCCCCAGGTCTGCCAAGACCAGGCCGGTCCCCCAGCGCCCACCCTGTGCGGCCTCCCGCAGGACGCTCCCCTGCAGGAAGATGCAAACAGCGGGTGGCGAGCTGCAAGGTGTGGCTGGCCGGTGCCTGTCGCCCCTCAGGACTGGGTGCTCTCCGCTGGAGCCCATGTGCAGGGAGGGAGGGCAGGTGAAGGGAGCAGGCAGGTGGGGAGCAGGTGCAGGGGGCAGGTGTGTGGAGCAAGTGTGGGAGGCAGCTGAGGGGAGCAGGTGCAGGGTTGCAGACAAAGGAGAGAGTAAGTGCAGAAGGGAGTAAGTGGGGGGGGCAGGTGCGGGGGGGGGGCAGGTGAGGGGAGCAGGTACATGGGTGCAGAAGGAGGAGGGAGTAAGTGGGGGGGCAGGGGGCAGGTGCGGGGCTGCCGAGGGGCGTGGGCAGCTGCGGGGCAGGTGCGGGGCTCCAGACGGAGGACGGAGTAAGTGGGGGGTCAGGTGCAGGGGAGCAGGTGAGGGGAGCAGGTACACGGCTGCAGAGTGAGGAGGGAGCAAGTGGGGGGTGCAGGGGGAAGGTGCGGGGATGCAGATGGGGAGGGAGTAGGTGCGGGGGGGCAGGTGCGGGGCCGCCGACGGGCGGAGGCAGGTGCGGGGCAGGAGCGGAGCAGGTGCGGGCAGAGCGGGCAGGTGCGGGCAGGAGCGGAGCAGGTGCGGGCAGGTGCGAGCAGGAGCCGGGCAGGAGCGGGCAGGTGCGGGGCAGGAGCGGGGCAGGAGCGGGGCAGGAGCGGGCCGCGCGGCGCCGCACACGGACGCAGCTGACCTGGGCCGGCAGCTGCACGCGGGGCCGCTCGCGGCGGACGCCAACCGCGAGGCCCCGCCTGTCCCCGCCGCGCCGGCTCCGCTCCCGCTCAACGCGGACAGACGCCTGGCGGGACCCGAGCGGCCGGCTCCCCTCACCCAAGCCGTGGCTCCCGCGGCTTCGGGGTCCCCGCCGCGCGCCCTGAGAGCCCCACCTCGCCAGCCACCGCGTCGTCCCTCGAAGCGCAGCCCCCAGCGCGGCCGGAAGCGGCGCGGCGGAAGCCGGGCGGGGACGAGAGGCCGTTGCCCACACCTAACATGGCCGCCAGGGCCTCGCTCCCGGCGCGGCGCCCCCTGACCGGAGTAAAAATGGCGTCCGGGCGGCGCGCGCGAGGGGCGGGCTCCCTTCGCCTCGCCCCGGCCCCACCCCCTCCCGGCTGGACGCTGACCCGGGGCCCTCCTATTGGTCGCTTCTCGTGGCGAGCCCGGATTGGGCCACATGGGGACGGAGTGGGTGCGCCCGGCCAATAGCGGCGCGAGGGCGGCCAGTGGGCGGGACCTCGCCCGGCGCCGTCAAGTAGCCCCGGGAACGGCCGGCTCCGCCGAGCGCTGGGCGGCCGGTTCCCGCTGGACTTGGACGCTCCCGCGGCCGCGTCCTGCGCAGCGCTGCCCGACTCGGCCCGCCATGCGCCCCCGCCGGCCCCGGCCCCCGGCCCCGGCCGCGCTGGGGCTGCTGCTGCTGCTGCTGCTGCCGCCGCCGCCCGGTGCGGCCGCCAAGAAGGCGACGCCCTGCAAGCGCTGCCGGGAGCTGGTGGACAAGTTCAACCAGGTGGGCCGCTCGGACCGGGGGCGCGGGGCGGGGCGCGGGGGCTGGCCTGGGCGGCGGCGCCGGGGCGGCAGGGTGGACCGGGTCTCGGACGCAGGGTGAGCCCGGGGTGGACAGGGTCACCCCGCGATGGACAAGGGTCTCGGACCCAGGGTGAGCCCGGGATGGACAGGGTCACCCTACCATGGACAGGGGTCATGGACCCAGGGTGAGCCTGGGGTGGACAGGGTCACCCCGCCATGGACCTGGGACACAGACCCAGGGTGACCCTGGTATAGACAGGGTCACCCCGCGATGGACAGGGGTCATGGACCCAGGGTGAGCCCGGGGTGGACAGGGTCACCCCGCCATGGACCTGGGACACAGACCCAGGGTGACCCCGGGATGAACAGGGTCACCCTGCGATGGACAAGGATCTCAGACCCAGGGTGACCCCAGGATGGACAGGTTCACCCTGCGGTGGACAGGGGTCACAGACCCAGGGTGAGCCCAGGATGGACAGGGTCACGCTACCATGGACAGGGGTCATGGACCTTGGGTCACTGTGCGATGGACAGGGTCACCCCGCCATGGACCTGAGTCACAGACCCAGGGTAAGCCCACGATGCATATGGTCATCCTAAGATGGACCTGGGTCATGGACCCTGGGTCACCGTGCAATGGGCAGGGTTACTCCTCCATGGACCTGGGTCAAGAACTCAGGGTAAGCCCGGGATGGACAGGGGTCATGGACCCAGGGTCGCCCTGCAATGGACAAGGGTCACCTTGTGATGGACTCCAGGTCATCCTGGTGATGGACCCGGGGTCACCCAACAGTAAATGGCATATTGTCCCCACAGTGGACTCAGAGTGACCCCTATGGTGGACAACAGATGTGTGGGGGCAGCAGCGGAGCCCCGTGCCCACCCTCTCTCCTCGCAGGGAATGGCGGACACCGCGAAGAAGAACTTTGGTGGCGGGAACACAGCTTGGGAGGAAAAGACGCTGTCCAAGTACGAGTTCAGGTGGGTGCCGTCACCCCGGCTCTGGGCAGCCCAGCTTCGGCGCTGGACACGTTCCCGTGAATGTTGTCACCCACATGGACGACAGACACACAGAAGGGTCCCTTCGGTGAGGTCACCTGTGTGCTGGCCCCTACACGGCCCTTTGCTTCCACACTTGTCCCCCTGTCCCCTCCCTGCACGGCCAAGGGGACTGAGTCCCACCCCCTCACTCTGACCCCCACCCCAAGTCCCAACTCTGCTCGTCCCCAGTGTATGTGTTGAGGGTCTTTTTTCACCAAAGTGCCACCATCCTTCTGGCGTGGCACCACGCGGGGCCTCGGTACATCCCTATGGGGTGACGCCGACGCCCTGGGCTCGCCTCCGTGCGGGGCTGACGGGCTTGCGTTTCAGTGAGGTCCGCCTGCTGGAGATCACAGAGGGCCTGTGCGCCAGCAGTGACTTCGAGTGCCACAGCCTGCTGGAGGAGCACGAGGACCACCTGGAGGCCTGGTGGCTGCAGCTGTGAGTGCCTCCATGCCCCCCGCGCCACAGCCTGCCTCCCATAGCTCCAGCCCCACTGCTTTCCCCTGGGTGTTCGTTGAAACTAGCATTTGTGACTTAGTTTTTAGTTTATAAATTTGCAATACTTTCAAAATTAGGAGAGTTTGCACATGCTCACTCGGTCCTTGTTATGCTCTGCGGCAGCTGCAGGTGGGTGGCACCTGGAGCACCTGCTCGCTCCTAGACGGGCGCCCCCTGAGGCCGGGACACGCTGGGGCACGTGCTGTCACACACCGCGTTTTTGTTTTGAAGAAACCTGTCACGTAAGCTTCAACGACCACATTTTTAATTCCTCAGGAAGAAGGAGTATCCCGATTTATTTGAGTGGTTTTGCGTGAAAACGCTGAAAGTTTGCTGCTCCCCAGGAACATATGGGCCACACTGCCTTGGTACGTTGTCAGGGCATCTCAAGTGTCCTCCGTCGTTCCCGGTGTCTGGGTGCTGAGTCCCAGGTGGGCAGAAGCACAGCTGGCACCGGGGGCGCTACCCGCACCAAGCCCCGGGGCTGCCGCGGCCCTCCCACCATCCCCGCGGGGCCTCTTCCCTGGGCTGGGCAGCCCTGCGTGTCCGAGCCAGCCCTGCTGCCCTCACAGGGGCTTCCGCGGCCCCGGCCCAGCCCTGCGCACGGAGGAGCCGAGCCCCGCATGTGTGAGGCCAGGGGCAGGGGCATCTGTTGGGTGGGAGGCGTCACCTGCTGAAGCCAGGCTCTCCTGTGAGAAGGTACGCGCAGAACCAAAGCCACAGTTTGCTGCGGGCACCACGTCCACCCACAGAAGCCGGCTGGTGACGTCTCGTTCTCCCACCGCGGCCCTGGCTGTCCTCACGGCCCCGGCTGCGGACCCCAGCGGGTCACCCCATGCACAGCCCCGCGCCCACCTGCACTCCCCGGAGGATCGTAGTGACTCGGGCAGGAAGCAGGGTGTGTGTGGACTTGAGAGCGAGACCCACGAGCTGCCCTGGGTGGGAGCAGGGGGCCAAGCGAGGTGCCACTCCCTGTGAGGCGATGTGTCCCTGCCTGCGGGTGTCTGAGTGGCAGGTGTGTGTCGCCCACAGCGTGCCAGGGTGGCTCCGAGAGGCCGTGCAGTGGGAACGGGCGGTGCAGTGGGGACGGCAGCCGGCAGGGGAACGGGTCCTGCCAGTGCCACACTGGCTACCAGGGGCCCACGTGCACCGACTGCATGGATGGCTACTTCAGCTCGCTGAGGAACGAGACACATAGCATCTGCACAGGTACATCGGCGGCGCCCGCTGAGCAGCTGGGTGGGCACAGGGCCCGCTTCCTGCAGCTGCCGGTGCCCCCGCACACCAGAAGCACAAGCAGGCCCGGGGTGCTCTTGCCTCCTGTCTGAACGACCCTGGGAGGAAACAGTGGGTCCCCTTCCCCTGGCATCCTCCAGAAAAGGATGGGGCGGGTGGACGGGGAGGACACAGCCTCCAAGTCACGTGCCCACTGCTTCGGGGTGACCCGGTCCTGCATGTCTGGGCAGAGGTGTGTGCTGGGCTGCAGCTGCGTGGGCAGGATGGCCCAGCCGCAGGGTGCGGGCAGCGAGCAGAGGCGGCCCGGCCCCGGCCCCCAGCCCCCACAGTCAGGGAGGAGCGCACCTGTGGCCCCGGGCTGTGACCTCCTGCCCCCATCCCCTTAGGAAGACATGCGGCCTTGGCGACTGGGCACCGGGCCAGGTGGGCCCCCCGGCCCCATGCTCCGAGGCGGCCTGGCCGGCCCTGGGCTCCCCTCGGTCGGGGCTGCACGTGGCCCCGTGGGGTCCTGCATGCAGAGCCCTGTCCGCTGTGAGCGAGCACGCTGGACGTGGGGCGGGCACCACCGTGCCTCCTGTCGGGGCCAAGGCCCAGGGGCGGCAACGTGGGCACATGGAGGTTGCGATGCCTGGAGGACGGCGTGCACGGCACCCTTCTGGCATTCTCTAGTCGGTTCTCCCGATGTCAGGAGACTCCTTGGCATCCCGGACTGTGTTTAACCCCACATCAGGGCCGGGCCCTGGCCTGCAGCCCTCAGAGCTTCCGTGCAGGATGTGCGCGGGGTGCTGGGCAGGCCGCGGCCTCTGCCTCGGGCTCCCGTCCCTGCCTGGCCTGGGATGTGGGGGCGTGTGGGGCACGCTGGGCAGGGCCGTGTCCATGGAGCAACCGGAAGGGGCGCAGGAAGCCCGCTTGGTGGTTTTCTCGTTAAGCTCAGGGATCTTGTGAATCACAAGGCTCAGTTTTTCTGTTGTTGAATGAAGTTTGCTTTCTTGGGGTTTTTTTCTTACTCATATTGGGTTTTTGTTTTCATCGTGCGGAAGGTAAATTCCTCATTTCTGAAGTGACCTCTGTGTCGCGTGGGTTACTAAGAACAGGGTTCACACGTGCTCACGGGTGTCCCTCCCCCGCCTTCCAGCCTGTGACGAGTCATGTAAGGAGTGCACGGGCCCAACCAACAGGGACTGCAGCCAGTGTGCCGTGGGCTGGGTGCAGGAGGACGCAGCCTGCGTGGGTGAGGCCGGGCGGGCTCTGGGTGGCCTCTCCTCTCCTCCTCCACCCCCGCCCCACCCTCCTTTCCCTCTCCCGTCCTCCCTCCCCCTCCCATCTCCACGAATAGGTAGGCCTGCTGCTGTGCAGGCAGGGAAACCGAGGCACGGGCCCCCCTTTGGCCTGGAGAGCCATTCGGTGGGCTCAACAGCCACAGTGCCTGCCCGGTCCAGCCAATGAGCGGGGAGGCGGGCCTTCATGACGCACACCCAGCCGCGGGGTTCGGGCCCTGGGCCCCGCCCGCCCAGCCTGGTGGCCACCGCGCCCTCTCCTTGGCACCCAGTGGCCCCGGGGAGGCCTGGGGGCAGCGGGAGGAATGGCCGGTGGAGCCGGGCTGCCCTTAGGCCCATCGGGGGCAGGCTCCTTCCTGGGGTCTGGTCCCGAGGGTGGTCGTGGCCCTGACGCTGACCTGGAGCCACGCAAGTCCACACGGAAGCACAAGACTGTCCTATGCCTGCTGGGGGTCCCTTGTGGGGGCCGCGCCCCCGGCCCCCGTCCCGGCCCGTCACCCCTGCGCGAGGGAGAGCCGTGGCTGAGGGTCGTGTCCAGTCACTGCCCGCATCCTCCGCGAGGTGGCCGGGGGTCTGTCCTCACGGCCGTGCTGCTGTGTTCCAGATGTGGACGAGTGTGCAGCAGACACACCGCCCTGCGGCGACCAGCAGTACTGCGAGAACACCAACGGCTCATTCGTGTGCAAAGGTGCGTGGTGGGCGGTGGGCATGGCCGGGCCTCACCGCGGGGCTCCGAGGCACTCTCCTCACGTTAAGACGTTAAGACGTGTGAGGGGCACCGAGTGATAGACGTTTGCTATGCAAAATCAGAAAATTCAGATATGTTGAAAAGCAAGTAACTTTTAAAGCTCCAGTTTCCTCCATCCGTCATTTCATGCCGCTCGCCGTCCCCGCTGCCCTCCCCTGCGGGCCCTGTCCCCATGTCACATCACAGCTCTGGGGCGCCCGTGCCGCGCTCTCCAGCTGGCTGTGTTGCTGGAGGTTTGGCTCAGGCCGGTTTCCCACAGCCGCGACTCCGGGTCCTTCCTTGTTTCCTTGGCGGAGTCTCCAAACTGCTCAGGAGTGTGGACGGTAGGGCCGCAGCGTCCCCGGAGGTGGCGACCGGCTGCTCTGACCGCGAGGCCTCGCCTGTGAGCGTCATGCGTTGTCCCATGTGTCCCCCCTGAGCTGCTCACAGTGTCCCCACCGTGCGGTGACTGGGGAAAAGCTGCCATGCGGGCGCTGGCTTTGGAAAGATGGTCTGCGGGGGCCCGGCGGCCTGCGGTCACAGCTCCGGGGGCACACGGCACACGTCACTGGACCGCGCACAGATGTCGGGGATGCGCAGGTCCTCACGCGGTGGCCTTCCAACCCATTCTGCTCATGGGAGGCAGTCCAATGTTCTGTCTCTCCCTTTGTTTCTAGAATGTGATGCTACGTGTGTGGGCTGCACGGGGAAGGGTCCCGGGAGCTGTAAAGAGTGCATCCCCGGCTACAGCAGGGAAGGTGACCAGTGCACAGGTCAGTGCACTGCACTAGGGGGTAGGGGCTGGGGGGCACGGACTCCAGCACTCCCTGCGAGGGTGGGGGCAGGCTCTGTCCTGCGGCCCCCAGGAGTGCGCGGTCCTGGTGACCCTGTGGCCTGGGGCTCTGCTCCGGCCCCCCACCCAGGCCCCCGTGGCCACTGAAACCGCGTGGAAAGGGGCGGTGGGCAGACACCCCCTGCATGAGCGGCCCCGGGCCCAGCTGCACACCCGCCCCTGCCGCCCCTGCCTGCCCACTGCCCGACCCAGAGCTGCCCTGGATCCTGCCCCGAACCCTCCCCGGTCTCCGTGCTTCCCGCGTGGGAGCGAACCAGGCGAGCATGTGCCCGTGATGGGCCAGGCAGCCACCCAGCGCAGCCCTTCTTGCAGACGTGGACGAGTGCGCGGGCGTGGAGAGTGTGTGCATGCGCCACAACGAGAACTGCTACAACACTCCCGGGAGCTACGTGTGCGTGTGTCCCGATGGCTTCGAAGAGACGGAGGACGCATGTGTGCCCACGCAGACCCCGGGCATCGGTGAGTGGCGCGGCTCTAACGGGTGTGCGCGGGCGCTCCCAGCTCAGGAATCACCCCAAAGACAGCCCTCCGGGTTGACATGCCCACCCGACAGGAGGGGGCCGCACGGAGACTCAGTAACCGCGGAGTTAGCAGGCGCCCAGGGCCCCGAGGGCAGGAGCCTCGGTCTCTGCCGGCCGCTGTGTCAGCTTTCCCTGGGCCCACGGCTACACCCCCTCTGGTCTCTGCCTCTGTCCACACACCTCCCGGGGCCTCTGTGTCCACGTCCTAATTTCCCTCTTCCTACGTGGATGCCAGCTGTTGGGTGAGGACTCACCCCGATGACCTCCTCTTATCTTGTCCGTCTGTAAAGAGCCTGTTTTCACATGGCATCCACTTCACAGCTACTGGGGGTCAGGATGTCAGCATGTGGGGGGGCACAGGTCTTCCTGGGACAGAAGTGTGAGAACGTGGAGCAGCGGGGTAGTGTCAACAAAGCACCGATGAAGAATCTTACTGAACAACTGCCCCGACACTGACTTCAGGAGCTTCCTGACCCCAGCAAGGATGGGGCAGGCAGGGCAGGGCAGGGGCTGGCAGGGTGGGCAGGGCAGGGGCAGTGAGGGCTGGGGCAGGCGGGCAGGGCAGGGGCTGGCAGGGAAGGCAGGGCAGGGGCAGTGAGGGCTGGGGCAGGCGGGCAGGGCAGGGACTGGCAGGAAAGGCAGGGCTGGGCCAGACAAGCAGGGCAGGGGCAGTGAGGGCTGGGGCAGGTGGGCAGGGCAGGGGCTGGCAGGGAGGGGAAGGCAGGGCAGGGCCAGATGGGCAGGGCAGGGGCAGGGAGGCCAGGGCTGGGCCAGGCAGGCAGGACAGGGCAAGACAGGGGCAGCGAGGGCTGGGTGGGCAGGGGCAGGCCAGGGCTGGGGCAGGTGGGGAGGGCAAGGCAGGGGCAGCAAAGGCTGGGGCGGGCAGGCAGGGCAGGGGTGTGGGGGGGAGAGCAGGGCTGGGGTGGGCAGGGGCGGGGAGGACAGGGCTGGGGTGGGGAGGGCTGGGGCAGGCAGCAGGGCAGTGGCAGAGAGGGCAGGGAGGGCAGGGCAGGTGCAGAGTGAGGTTCCTCTGAGGAAGCCCTGGCGCCAAGAACAGGGAGGAACGAGCAGGGAGCAGGGCCACAGCCACCTGTGCCCCCACAGCCCTGGGGCCCGCCCCTGCAGGTCCCCACTGTCCCCAGCCCTGCTCGCGGCCGCCAGGGAGCATCGCCAGCTCGTATCTGTGGCTCGGGTCTGTGGGGCGAAGGGGGGCGACCCCGCCGTGCCTCCTGCCCGACGCCCCGGGCCGCTGGTCCGCGGGGAGCAACCCCATCAGGACGGGGGCACCGCCTGGTCCCCCCAAAGCCTACCCCCCCACAGGCCTCTGGAGCCGGGATTTCACCTCCCGCTGTTGTCTCCCCGCAGAGCTCACGGCAGGCCCCACGCAGCCGCTGCCCCCGCTGCCCCCGCGGGAGGACTTGTGACGCACGTCCAGAACCTGAGCCAGGCCCCCCCTTAAATTATTCACTGAGCCCGGAGCGCTCCTCACTCCTGCCCCGGGGCTGCGGACCGGCAGCTGCCGCCTTGGGAGTCGCTCGTGCCTGGTTGGCCTTTAGAAAAGCTGCAATTCTCGGTTGTTCTTAAACAGATTTGTATATTTTGATACTATTGTTTATAATAAAATTGACCGTTGAGGGTAGACAGCCACAGAACACGCATCTGCTTCTGGTCTCTCTGCGTTCTTGCGCGCCTCGGCTGACCCCCTTGCCCTGCCTCCACGTCTGGGGGGACCAGGCCAGGCACCCCTGAATTCCTAGAGGGGACACGAGTGGGCAGCCTGCACGGGCGGGGTCTGCTCTTGACCAGGGGCACCTGTTGGGGGGTTCACTGGGGGTGGGGCGGAGGGCATGGTCCTCGCGCGGACACGTGGTTTGCTTGTGGAGATGGGGCTGGAGGGTCCAGGCCACGTGGCTGGGGCAGGGAACTGGTTCCCGTGGGAACCCAGAGGGTCCTGAGTCCGCGTGGTGGGGTCACCGGGGCTCTGTAGGCATGCCCCCCCTCTCCACGGGCGGCATGCAGCAGGGCAGGGGAGGCCCGTGCTGGAAGCCAGGAACCGCGCTGGCTCCCCTGTGGTGCCCTGGGGGCTGTGCCAAGGCCCCACCCTGGGCCAGCAGGTGGCTCTGGGCCTAGGGCGCCCCGTTACCCCCACCCCGTCCTGCTCTGGAACCCCCACTCAGGGCCCCCCAGGGCGGTAGAGCAGCAGGCTGATCTGGCCCCCAGAACCCACCAAGGTGGTCTGTCCTCAGGGCCTCTGCACCATCCTGTGGGGGGGGGTGTCGGGGGGGGGGGCTGGCTCCTCCCCTCCTCCCGCTCCATCCTCCCTGGCCCCCTGGCTGTCAGCTCCCTGCCCCTGCCCCTGCCCCTCGGGTCTGGAGCTGCCTCCCCTGCAAACAGGCGCGTGTCCCCGGCCCAGGTGCGTCCTGCGGTGTGAGTAGCAGCTGGACTGGGGGGCCACGTGGGCAGGAGGGCGGACCTGACCCCAGCAGCTCCTTGCCACCCAGGCGTGGGGCTCCGGGCATGGGCAGAGCCCGCGGGACCACGGGGTGGGCGGCCCACGTGCACAGGTGGGGGGCCCGGGCGCTGACCGCCATACCTTGGGAGCCCCTCCAGGGGCCCTGGCTCTGCTGGGGTTGGGGTGACTCAGTGAAGCCCCGCTTCTGACGGCGACCCCCGCCCAGGGCCTGCAGCCTCCGCTCCGGCCTGGGCAGCGTCGGGGGCAGCCTGGGCCCGGAGGCGGCGCCGCCAGCAGGTGGCGCTGCGGGACCAGCCCAGGGACGCCGTGCGGGGACCCGCGAGGGGCGGGGACGTCCCCAGGAGGGCGGGGTCCCAGGGCAGGCTCTGGGGTGGCCGGGCTGGGCCCCTGAGCTCCGGGCAGAGCGGGGACAGGACGCAGTGGCCGCGCCCCCGCCGAGGCCCGTGACGCGCCTTCTCCCTCCTCCGCCCCGCGTGCTGCCCGCCAAGGCCCCCGGGCACCCGCCTCTCCCGCTGGCCCCTGCCGCGTCCCTGGGGGACCGGACTCGCGCTCGGGGGGCCCGGACGCTGCCCCCTCCGGGGTGTCCTCCTGCCAGGTGCCCCGGCCTCCCCCGCCGAGGGCCCTCGTCCACCTGGCCTCCTGCGATGGCACCCCCTAGCTAGAAGCTTCTGGCAGCGTGGCGCCAGAGCCCAGCTCACCCACCCCGCCCGCCAGGCTGTACTGGACGCTGGGTCTCTGGGCCTGCGGTCAGCCTGTTGGGGCGGCAGCATCAAGGGGGTCGGTGGCACCAACAAAGTGGCAGCAACCGTCCATCTGTCACCCGCCTCGGGACTTTCCTGCCATCAGCAGACCGCCCGAGGCCACGTCCTCAGGGGGCAACAGGATCTACGCAGGAAGCCGAGGCCACACCCTGCCCTCCCATACCCCGCACAGACGCCAGCGCGGTCACCCTGTCCCGCAGCGCCCTACCCTTCCCTGTAAAGCCTGCCTGTGTCACCCACCACTCCCGCTGTCCCTGCCTGCGGGCCGCGTCCCTCCCGAGCTGCCTTGGCCCACCCTCGCCCAGCGTCTCTGCTTCGTTTCACTACCCACCGGATCGAAGCTGACGCAGCCCATGGGCGCCGTGCACACCCTCAAACAGGCAGGTGTGCACAGGTGGCCTGGGGGACGCTGGTCACACCTGGGGCTGGGGTACCACAGGCTCCAGGGGGCGGGCCGGCCTGCTGCTCAACACCCCCTGCACCCAGGCCGCCCGCAGGGGTGCGGGTCGCCGGCTGGGCTGTCCTGGGCTCAGCCCGTCTCCGCTGCCCACAGGCCGGCGTGTTCTGGGGGGTTGGCATGGGATTCCACATGCCCCCCGGTGCCGCTCCCTGGTGTCCTTGGCCTGGAAACTTTCATATCCCCCCACCACAGCCACACGCGTGCTGACCGTCCTGGGCCCACGACTGAGTCCTGCCCCGCCTCAGCCGATCCAGGGGCCCCTGGAGGCTGCAGGTGTGGGCCGTGGGGGGCACCAGGGCAGGGGTGTCACAGGTCTGAGCCCTGCGTGTGCAGTGTGCCGTCGTTGCTCGTGCCTCCTCTCAAAGCCACGGGGCACGTCCGAGGCAGCCACTCTGGGCAGCGGGCCCATGGGACGATGGCCAGGCCGGCCCGGGCCACCTGCTGCCCCACAGCCCCGCCGGGGGCCTGCTGCAGACCCTACTCAAACCGTCCTGGTGGGGCCGTGGGGCACCAGGCCTCCCGTGGCCCAGCTGCCGGGCCCCCTCCTGGTGATGCGCAGCCGCCCCATCCCCTGTGTGAGGGCTTCCGGCGAGCTCGGGCCCCTGGGTTCCTCTCGACGAAGGCCCGGGGTACCGGCCACGTCCCCCTCACCTGGTCTGATTAACACGGGCTCGCCGGGGTGGGTGCGGCTCTGGGGACGCATGGCGGGCTTGCGTGTTCTCCGACTGGGACGAGGAGAATGCAGCCGGGGTGGCGTTCCTACGGTCGCTGTCCTTCTGGACCCATCCCCTGCCTTTCATCGCGGTCTGACTGTGGGGTAAACGGAGCTGTGATGGTCATTAGGTGTCGTCACTCACCCGGGAGGTCACGCTGCCCTTCGCTGTTGGCTGGGGGCAGTTAGGGACGCTTCCCCCGGGCCATCCACGAGGGTGGCCAAGGACACGGTGTCACCCGTGCAGTACGTCCACTCTGGACTTCGGGAAACGAGCACATGGCGGGCATCAGGGATTGGGCCTGGCTCGGACGGCGTCTGAGGGAGCCCCGCGCTGGCAGGTCACCGCGTCACCCAGACCATGCATCCAGCACTCCTCAAACACGTGGGGCGTCCCCTCCCGTGTGCAGTTGGGGGCCGCCCGTAGGGAAGGCCGGCTGCCCCCTGAGGCCCCGGCCCCCTTCCACTCCCTGGGCCCTGGGAGGAGACGGCAAAGGACCGCAACCTGCGAGCGGGAGCTCCGGGTCACACGTCCCCGGTCTCCCCTGGGGTGCCCGGCAGTGTCCGGGACCACTGCATCCCGCTCAGCACGCCGCCCGCACCGCAGGCCCTGGACGACCCCACCCTGCTGCATCCACCTGCCCCTGGCATCAGCCTGTGACGGCCGAGCCCGCCGGGAGCCTCCACTGGCTCCCCACAATGCTATGCCTCTCCACTGTGTCCTCGAGGCCACCTGTGCAGCCCACCCAGCTTCCCGCCCGTCCGCAGGGTCCACCATGGCCGTGTGCTCCCCGCCCTGTGCCCGCACCCACTTGTGGTGGGAGCCGCAGGCCCCGGGAAAGCTCCACGGCGCAGGATCTCCCTCCAGCCTGGGACAAGGTGCTGCGTCCTGAGGCCCCTCTGCCCTGCACCAGGTCACCTCGTCCCCAACAGGCCATGACCCTACGTGTTCCAGGAGGGAGGCAAACGGGTCCTGAGAGGTAAGGCTCCTGGTTTCTTGAAGGAAGGCCTGCCGTGAAGGCGTGGCCACTGTGTGGGCCTGAGGACTGGGGGGGCCTGGCGGTCACCCCTGCGGGCTGTCCCCCAGCCAGCACCTGGTCGGCTCACAGGTCCTGCTGCGCTGGGTCCCCCACCCCTGGGAGCCGGCTCCTCTGACCATGGAGTCCTCCCAGCCTCCCTGCAGCCTGTGGCCCCTTCCCAGGGACAAGGGACACCACTGTCCCATACTCTCCACCACAGGACGACCCAGCCAGGGCAGCCCCCGCCCAATTCACCATGGCGACCCTGGAACATGCGCTGCGGTCTCTGCAGTGACTGCCCGGACCGCCCTGGCTCTGTCTGCCCACACACCTTCTAGAAGGCCAGTCGGTCCTCAAGCAGCCCCCGGAGCATCCACGCGCTGGTGAGGGGCCGGCCCCTGATCCCAGTGGAGCCACTGTTTGGAGGGTCGCCCGAGGACAAGGTCCGCACGCTGCGTGCCGACCACCCCCAGCCGGGGCTGGCGCCCTCACCCCCACCCCGACTGCGCCCACCCGCAACCCGCAGGCCCCCGCCCGCCTCCTCCCTGCCCATTCTGTGGGGGCTCCTGGCACCCCCCACCTGCAGCCCTCAACTGAAGACCATCCTTCCCTGCACCCCACTAGTCCCTGAGCCAGGACCCCCCCTGCAGCCATGTCACTGTGGGCTAGGACAGACTCCTGGGGACCCTACTCACACATGCCCCGCATCCACCTGTCCTCCAGGCCCCACTGGCTCAGCCCTCTGCCCCCTGCCCCGCGGGGCCCACTCGGCCCAGGGTGTCAGGCAAGCCTGGGCACGGGGGCTCCAACCCACTACTGGGTACCGGATGCTCGCCCCATGACAGGGGTGGGGGCCCGGCCGTGCAGTCACTCTCTGGGGTGTCCAGGACCAGACCTGCCTGGGTGGGCAGGGGGACTCCAGGGAAGCAGGGGCATTGGAGCCTGGGGCAGGGGGTGGGCACAGAGGGCTGCAGCCCTACAGAGGGTGCGACCTTGGCCGAAGCCCTCCGTGGGCACAGGCCGCCAGGCAGGCCGTGAGCCCCCTCCCCGGCCGGGGGCCCCTCAAAGCCTTCATTGCGCCTGGATCATCCCAGACGGCGGGTGGCTCCCCACCCCCGAGGGCCCAGAGACCCCTCGCGCAGACCCCAGTGACCTCCGCTGGGCGGGGGCAGCCCCCAGACAGCCGTCCAGGGCCAGGGCCTCCCGCTCCCCCCACCTGCAGAGGGGAGGGGG